GGGAAGATTGCAATGCACACACCATTTGATCAGCCGGGGATGTTTATACTCTGATATTCATGACAGTTGTTATAGTATTCTGAGATACATTGTTTATGATTTTTCTATGACGTATGATGACTATGGTTTTTATTATTAAATTAAAATGAAATTTTTAGACCGTGTTTTTGGGATGTTACAAAACTTTACCAGAAACTTTACCCTCCTAGGTGTGTTTTCGACCCAGATCTGAAATATGGGACTCGAATTCGAAGAATAAAGGCTTAATGCATTAAGAAGGCTTAACAGACTGAAGAACTCGAAGAGTTCATAGAGGGACTCGACGAGTTAGGTCGAAGTGTCCCGATTCTGTTAAAAGGAAGGACTCGACGAGTTGATTTGAAAAGTCCCGATTCTGTTGATAGGAGGAACTCAACGAGTTCATGAAAGAAATCGACGAGTTGGATCGCGATTTCAGGATTTTATGATTTATGGAACTCGACGAGTTGAAGGGTCAACTCGGCGAGTTGAGTCAACTGGGAATGTTGACTTTGACTTTGACTAGGGTGTTGACTTTGAATTTGACTAAAGTTGACCCTTAAGGGGTTATGAGTATGAAAAGGGTAATTAAAGGAAATCTTTTATGTGTGGGGGTTTGAGTTGGGTTGATTTCAGAGTTGGGGATTGTCCAACTACTTTATATCATTCGAGGTGAGTTACCTTCCCGGTAGCAGTGGGTCTTAGGCACCAAGGTCGGCCCACTAGTAGGAGTTTTTAGTTAGATGATTGTCTTTGTGATAAGTATCTGGTATGCCACTATCTGTTATGACTTATGTGTTAGTATGCTATGATATTATGTGATAGTGGTAAGGGTGAAATAGACCCCGTATCCGGCCGATAATACCGAAGGGGTAGGTCGGGCACCCAGATATGCCTGGCAGTATGATTATGTATGCTATTATGTGGTAGTGGTAGGGGTGAAATAGTCCTCGTAGCCGGTTGAAAGAAACCGAAGGGGTAGGCCAGCACTCTGATATGCAAGACAGTTACCGGTTGAAAGAGGGCCGAAGGGGTAGGCCAGCACCCTGATATGCTAGGCAGTTACCGATTGAAAGAGACCGAAATGGTAGGCCAACACCCAGATATGCTAGGCAGTATATTATTCTATGGTATGTGGTATGATGGGGGAACTCACTAAGCTTCGTACTTACGGTTTACAGTTTTGGTTTCAGGTACTTCTTATTCGAAAGGAAAGGGGCCGACATGATCGCAACGCATCACACTATGTTTTCCGCACATGAGATCTTTGAGAATGAAACTCCGATGTTGTTTTATTATGACATGTGTTGATTATTGACTTATTGGTTTTGATATGGGATGATACTATGAATGTTTTCAGACTATTGGTTTTATAATTACTTATTTAAAAATGAAATTTTTGGTCTTAAATTTTGAGACGTTATAATTTTGAACATGATTTGTTGATTTGTTTTTTTAAAATGAATACAATCATCTGGCTAATCATAATCGAAATTAAACAAGATTCTATTTCTGATTCTTTGCCTAATAGAATATAATATGATCAATGTTTGATAATCATAACCCAAAAATAAATCCAATTCAAATTCGAATTAAAATATATCTGAAAAAGGAAGGAATCAAATAAATAACTTACAAACTGGTAGACCGTTATGACGCATAGTTTAAGGGATTTAAAATCAATTGCTCTCTGATTTAATTAGATTTTATATGAAAAATTGATTGAAGAGTATATAAATTAACATGAGCATAAACATATCTAGGTGTATATTTTAGGCGGGGAAAACCCATTTTGAGGCTTAATGAGGAGGCTACGCATGCATATGTACATGTGTAAAAAAAATATATATTTTTTCAAAATTTTTTTTCCAACGTTTCTCTTAGTCACTAAGTAAGGGTAATTTTTGTATTTCTTTAGGAAAAATATTACATAGAATTTTTTTTTCTTCTAATTTTAAGTTGAATTTCTGATGCATTCATTTGGATTGCTTTTTTCCTTTTTATAAGATTCGTATATAATCTACAATATTCTGTAAATCAAAGCAACTAATTACAGAAGATTATAACAAGTTTGAGGGTTTCAACACCGGATTACACCTCTGAGAAAGTGTTATTCTACAAATGCTTTCCTTCATTAAAGTATCTCTCCCTCTTGATCTGAGTTTTTGGTTTCGATTCTTTGGATGCTGAGTAGAGATGAGAAGAGTAAGGGATGGAGGAATGTATCACCATTGAAGCACTTCAAGTGGGAGCTTTTCAGAAGCTTTTGTTGCTGTTGCAAGTTGCTTCTTTTGTGAAAACGAAGGAGAAACCTGGTGAATTGTTGAAGGGAATGAATGTGCATAAAGGAGAGAGAGAGAGAGAGAGAGAGAGAGAGAGAGAGAGAGAGAGAGAGAGAGAGAGAGAGAGAGAGAGAGAGAGAGAGAGAGAGAGAGAGATGTGGGCTTTTTTTCAATTATTAAAATATTAAAATAAATATTAATAATGTAAAAATAAAATTAAAAGGGTATAATAGTCATTTTAATTTTCGAAGACACGAAAACCACATACAAATATTGTTAAAAGGACCACTGATAGTAGAAAATTATGGTTTGGACCAGATCCGAAAAAATGTAATATTGCAGTGATCATTTTTGCAGTTTTGTAAATAAAAAAAAAAGTACGTAAACATTTGACAATCGACATCACCTCTCTCCTTTCATCGTACTTGAAGGCTGAAGCAGCGGATTATCTGCATTTCATAGGACTACTAGGTGTGGGCAACATGTTATTACATGTTACCACACCCAAAAGGTGCCATGTTAGCATCTTACTCATACATGGGTGTTATAACAACCAATTTGAAAATGAGCAACATCTAATAACATGTGATAACACCAATTATTTTCTATTTTATTTTTATTTTTTTTGATGTTTTTTTTTCTATATTTCGAATTTGTTTTATTTATTTATTTATATTTGAAAAGTAAAAATAAAATTTTAATAAAACTTAAATTAAAAACAACGTTAAAAAAATTACAACAAAACACAAAACATTTAAAAACCTAAAAAGCAAAAAAAAAAAAAAAAAGAAGATGATAAAACCTACATTTTTTGGCCTAAAACTATTCATGTTCATCTTCGTGACCAACATAGATGTAATCCGCCAAGTTTTCACGGAGTTGCTTGTGTTTTCGTTGATCTTGAATATCAACCACTCTATGTAAATATTCCGATGTGCTTGGTTGAAATTGCACATGTCTTGGCTCCGTAGGCGAATACGTTGCAATATTGTGTCCTTTATCTTCGATAACCATGTTATGCATTATGATACATGCATACATGATATATCGTAGAGTATCTAACTCATAAGGTCTCGCCGCATGTCCAACTATGTGTCATTTTGATTTCAAAACCCCAAAAGCACGTTCAATGTCCTTACGTGCTCCTTCTTGTCGTCTCTTGAAATATTTGTCCCTTGGATCTATTGGGTGTCGAAACGCCTTCACAAACGTGAAATATTGTGGATATATTCCGTCTGTAAGGTAATACCCAAACTTATATTCATTTCCATTCACTGTGAAAGGAGCATCCGGGGCTTTTCCTGACAAAAGATCGTCAAATATTGGTGATTGATCAAGAACGTTGACGTCGTTGTTAGAACCCGCAACCCTGAAAAAAGCATGCCAAATCCATAAATCTTGTGAAGCAACAACCTCTAATACCAACGAAGGCGCTCCATGATGACCGCTCGAATACTGGCCTTTCCACGCCACGGGGCAATTTCTCCATTTCCAGTGTGTGCAGTCAATGCTCCCAAGCATACCCGGAAAACCATGTCTTTCTTCATGCGTCGCATATAGTTGTTACATATCATGCAACGAAGGTTTGTGCAAGTATTGGTCACCGAAGGTTTCGACAACACCTCTTGCCAATAAATACAAACTTTCTCGTGCGGTCCTCTCAGACATTCTCATATAATCGTCAACAGAATCGGGGGACTCCCCCATTGCCATAAGTTAATTGCAGCAACACATTTCTGCAACCCTGTGAAACCTCGTTTGCCTCTAGCATCATATCTCAATTGGAAAAATTCATACCTAAATAAATATTAAACATGTGAAAATTGTATTTATTTTATCTAAAAGTGACATTTTATAAATTATAAAAGTTGAAACAAATGATACCTAAATATATATTAAACATGTAAAAATTGTATTTATTTCAAAAGAAGAAATTATAAAAGTTGAAACAAACGATACCTTGCTTCCATAGCGTTGGCTATCCTTTCAAACACATTTTTTCGCAAACGAAATCTTCTTTTGAAATCGTTTGGCTGGTAGACACAATTTTCCGCAAAGTAATCGTTAACTAGCCGTCTATGCCCTTCCTCACGATCTCTATTTAACGCCGCACGTCGCGTGAGTAGTGAAGCTGGATCTGGCTGTAGTAGGTTGTCTATATAATACCGATACATCATACTCACGAACAAATCATCTTCGTCGTTATCATCGTTGAACGGATGGGCCGGATCAAATTGATCCATATTTTGGTTTTGAAATATTGAAAGAAATATGTAGAGAAGTATGTGTTTTGTAGGTAAAAATAATATAGGTTATGTGATAGTATATATAAACTTGTTTTTTCTTATTTTTTTATTATTTTATTATTTTTTTATGTTACCGTTTGAAATAAACGGTCGAAATTATGGCCGTTGAATAAAAACACAAGCAAAATCGTGACGTTACCTCCTGTGTTCACCATAACGTGTCATAACATAACACCTAATAACGGCTGGGGGGCGGTGTTCCTCCCGATATGACACCGTTATTAGGTGCCATGTCACCTATAACGGGGCTTCCCATTGCCCACACCCCATAGTAGAAAATTATGGTTTGTACCATATCCGAAAAAAATGTAACACGGCAGGGATATTTTTGCAGTTTTGTAAAAAAAAAAAAAAAAAAAAAAAGTACGTAAACATTTGACAATCGACATCACCTCTCTCCTTTCATCGTACTTGAAGGCTGAAGCAGCGGATTATCTGCATTTCATAGAACCCCAAATAATCCTTACAAATCCTCAATCAATATCACTTCTCTCCATTTATCATAAAGGAATCCATAATTTCTCTGATAATTCCCAGCAGAAACAATGGATTCACAGCCGAACAACCTCTACGACACCGCGTCTCAGCCGGACACCGGTCACGACGACGCCTATAGATTTCTGGAATTCAACACTCAAGGAGAAGAAGACTTCGATTACCCCGAGTTTCAAGAGCTCTCACAGCCAAATGCCATTCGATCTTCACCATCATCATCGGTATGGCCAACACCATCGGACTCAATCTCCGTCGACGCAACTGCGGCAGTCGATCATCATTCCGACAACAACGCTTCCCCTGTCTCAGAAACTTCGGCCAAGGGTGGTGGTGGTAGGGGGAATAATAATCATAATAATCACCTTAACAATCATAACAATGATAACAATAATCAGGCATCTGCGGTTGATGCCCTAGCTGCGGGGATGAGCGGCTTGAATTTTGAAGACACGGGAGACGATGAAGGTTATGAGTACGCGAAAGGGGATTTCATGGAACATGCATGTAGGTATTGCGGGGTGCAGAATCCGGCGTGTGTTGTGAGGTGTAACGTTCCCTCGTGTCGTAAATGGTTCTGTAACTCGAGAGGGAATACTTCTGGCTCTCACATTGTTAATCATTTGGTAAGTCGTAATATCATACCTTCATCTCTTTCTTATTTACATTGATTATGATTTATGATGCGAAGTTTGTAATCTCCTTTTTTAGGTTCGAGCTAAACACAAAGAAGTGTGTCTCCATAAAGACAGTCCTCTAGGGGAGACAATTCTCGAATGCTACAATTGTGGGTGTAGAAATGTTTTCCTTCTGGGATTTATTTCAGCGAAGACAGAGAGTGTTGTCGTTCTTCTTTGCAGGGAACCTTGTCTGAATGTGAATGCTTTGAAAGACATGAATTGGGACTTGAGTCAATGGTGTCCACTTATTGATGACAGATGTTTCTTACAGTGGCTTGTTAAGGTTCCATCTGAAACAGAGCAGCTACGGGCAAGACAGATCAGTGCTCAGCAAATTAACAAAGTAGAAGAACTTTGGAAGACAAATCCTGATGCAAGTTTGGAAGATCTTGAGAAACCTGGTGTAGATGATGAACCACAGCCTGTAGTCTTAAAGTATGAAGATGCTTATCAGGTTCTAAAAACATTTTAAAGTATTCACCTTCTTCATGCATTGTTCCAATTCAGTCATCACACTTTAATGTCGCATGTGTGCTCATGTTTCTAATTGCAGTATCAAAATGTGTTTGCCCCACTTATCAAGCTTGAAGCTGACTATGATAAAGTAAGCAGTATTTCTATTCTTCTTGGTGCAACTGCAACCTTTATTTAGTTTTGAATTGTTGTATATATTGCTTGACAGATGATGAAAGAATCTCAAAGTAAAGACAATCTCACGATTCGTTGGGATATTGGTCTAAACAAGAAGCGCGTTGCATATTTTGTTTTCCCAAAGGTGCTTCATTTTCTTGATTGACATTTACATCATCAAGTTTATCTTTTTAAGATTATCATCTTATTAACCTTCAGTTTGATATAACTATAAGTCCAAGTATTTAAAAAAAACTGTAGGAAGACAATGAATTGCGCCTTGTACCTGGTGATGAGTTACGTCTCAGGTATTCAGGGGATGCAGCACATCCAGCCTGGCAGTCAGTTGGACATGTGGTACTGGTTTCTTGACTATGCACTTTTTTTAGTTTTCCATGTTAAGATTTTAAAATCCAATAATTGGGTTTTTGTTGTTTTAGATAAAGCTAACTGCACAAGAAGAGGTAGCACTTGAGCTTCGTGTAAGCCAGGTACTATCAATATCATCATGAATCCTGATAACTTATGATTCTTTTTTTTTGTATTTGACTATTTGAGCACTACTTATTAGGGTATTTAACTATTTATTATCTGTAGGGAGTTCCTTGTGATGTGAATCATGGTTTTAGTGTTGACTTTGTATGGAAGAGCACAAGTTTTGACCGGATGCAAGGGGCTATGAAAACTTTTGCAGTCGATGAAACAAGTGTTAGTGGGTGGGTTGTATATTGTGGCATATGAAAGTTATATGCATTTATAAAGGGCTTTAAATATGTTCTGTTTATGAGTCAGACATTTTATCAAACACTTGGTGTGCACCAAATTTACAGGTATATCTACCATCATCTGTTAGGACATGAGGTTGAGGTTCAAATGGTGCGTAATGCATTGCCACGTCGTTTTGGTGCCCCTGGTCTTCCTGAGCTTAATGCATCTCAAGTAGGTTTTGTTTCTTGCATATTTTTACTTTTTGCATGTTTGATTTTGTTGAACTAATGGGTTGTATTATTATTATTATTATTATTATTATTATTATATAACAAATTAACAATTAAAAATAGGTTTTTGCTGTAAAAAGTGTCCTTCAAAGGCCAATAAGTTTGATTCAAGGGCCACCAGGGACGGGTAAAACCGTCACTTCTGCTGCAATTGTTTATCATATGGCTAAACAAGGCCAAGGACAGGTACATATTTCTTGCATGTTTTTCATATGGATAATGCTCATGTCATTACATGATGAAATAATGGCATAATGGCATAATGGTAATTTAACTTAAAATCAGGTTCTGGTATGTGCTCCAAGCAATGTGGCTGTAGACCAACTTGCAGAAAAGATAAGTGCCACTGGTTTAAAGGTAACAATGTTTTGTTCGTTTATTATTGAGTATATAAATTATAAGTTATACAGAGTTTCTATTTGTTTATCATTATGCTGATATTTATTATTTTATTATAACTAGGTTGTAAGGCTGTGTGCAAAATCAAGGGAAGCTGTGAGTTCACCTGTTGAACATTTGACTCTTCATTATCAGGTTTTTTTTTTTTTTTTTTTTTTTTCTTTTTATAATGTTCTAAGTTTTATACGTTTATGAATTTTAATATTTGAATTCTATATGTTTTCATTTAAGGTTCGCCATCTTGATACATCTGAAAAGAGTGAACTCCACAAGCTTCAACAATTGAAAGATGAACAAGGTTAGATTTATGAATTTATATTAACCTGGAATTGGGTGATGGATTTTTCTTTTTTTATTTTTATAATTTATACAGGAGAGTTATCTAGCAGTGATGAGAAGAAATATAAAGCACTAAAACGGGCTACAGAAAGGGAGATATCTCAGAGTGCTGATGTCATCTGTTGCACATGTGTTGGTGCAGGGGACCCACGGTTGGCAAATTTTAGATTCCGCCAGGTTTATTTTTTATAAATTTAACCAAAACAAGTTAAATTAAAAACAAATATAAATTTTCACAATGTAAATGAACTATATCATATGTAGGTGCTTATTGATGAATCTACTCAATCCACAGAGCCTGAATGTCTTATACCTCTTGTTCTTGGGGCAAACAGGTATATATTATATATAATTATACATAGCTACAAATTTTATATAAATTCTACAATGAAGCTCTTGAACTAATGGATAGATATTATTTGGTTGTACTAGGTTATCCTTGTTGGTGATCATTGCCAGCTTGGTCCAGTCATCATGTGCAAGAAAGCAGCACGTGCTGGATTAGCTCAGTCTCTATTTGAAAGACTTGTGCTTCTTGGTGTAAAACCAATTAGATTACAGGTTTTAAAAAAATAATAGTAATATGCGTTTGACAAGGGCAAATACGTCTTTTTACAAAACAAAAAAAAATGTTGACTTTTTTTTTTGCTATCTGAAAATTTTCAGGTCCAATATCGTATGCATCCATGTCTTTCAGAATTCCCTTCGAATAATTTTTACGAAGGTACCCTTCAAAATGGAGTGACCATAAACGAAAGGCAATCAACAGGCATTGATTTTCCATGGCCTGTCCCAAATCGCCCCATGTTTTTTTATGTCCAGGTATGCATGACAAGGGCATAATGGTCTTTAATCTTATGTTCTTTTATGTATGAATTCACTAATTTATTTTGTATTGTAGATGGGACAAGAAGAAATAAGTGCTAGTGGGACATCCTATCTTAATAGAACAGAAGCTGCAAATGTTGAAAAAAATAGTGACTACTTTTTTAAAAAGTGGTGTAGTTCCAAGTCAGGTATATAAATATATATATATATATATACATGTCTGTATTTTTATAAAAAAATGTCATTGATAGGCTATAATTAATTTAAATATTATGCAGATAGGTGTTATAACACCATATGAAGGCCAGCGTGCATATATTGTTAATTACATGTCAAGAAACGGTGCACTTAGGCAGCAGCTTTACAAGGACATTGAGGTAATTTCACATCTTGCTTTTTCTCATTTTTTTCAGAAATTCATATAACTTATGAGCTTCATCATGTATACTCAGGTTGCAAGTGTGGATTCATTCCAAGGAAGGGAAAAAGATTACATTATTTTGTCATGTGTCAGAAGTAACGAACATCAGGTTGGTTAATATTTTTTTCCCAATAATAACAAATATTTAACCCTCAATAGCAACATACTTACATTTTCTTTATACAAAACAACAACACATACAGTTTTTACTACCCATTGGTCTGATCTGTATTTAGTTTAGGGTTTAGGGTTTAATGAGATTTTAATTATGGTTTTGTTTGTGTGTTTTAGGGTATTGGGTTTCTGAATGATCCACGTAGGCTTAATGTTGCACTTACTCGTGCTCGATATGGAATTGTGATTCTTGGAAATCCAAAAGTTCTTAGTAAACAACCATTATGGAATGGCTTACTCACACACTTTAAGGTCATACCCTATAACATCTATGAAAAGACAATAATACCCTTCCCCCCAATTAAACAAAAAAAAAAAAAAAAGATCTCATCATTTTTGTCTTTTGCTTTTATGTTGAGACCAGGAGCATGAGTGTTTGGTGGAAGGACCTCTCAACAACTTGAAGCAAAGTATGGTTCAATTTCAAAAACCAAAAAAAGTAATCATAATAATAAATTCATAAATTCATTGTTCTTTTTTTGTATATTAAAAAAAAAAATTATTTACTAGTTGTTTTTCATTTGATTCAGGTATACAATGAGCGGAGGTTTTTCTTTGGTGGTGGGCCCATTGTACCTACTGATAGCTTTGGTTCTGTTGCCTCAACAAATTCTAATGCTGACAGAAGAAACGGTCGTTCTAGAGGTCATAAATGATAAATCATAATTAATGATTCCAATAATAAAAGTTATATTTTTACTCAAATTGGTATTATGGGTAAAAAAATAAAGGACATTGCTTATATTAGTTAAAAGAGTAAATTACATTGTTATATTAGGTTCATACATGCCAAATGGTGCTCATAAATCCGGTCTGCATTATCCGGTTCCCCGTGTGCCGCCGCCTTATGGTGGTCCTCAGCCTTACGCCATACCAACACGCGGTGCAATTCATGGACCCGTTGGCGGTGTTTCTCATGTCCCGCCACCAGGGAACCGGGGTTTCACTGGAGGTGGAGGTGGAGGTGGTCATCTGCCACATCAGCAGCAAGGCTCAGGCTCACAGCAAGCAATAGGGTCTGCTTTTAACTTTCCTTCAATGGAAAATCCAAATAGTCAACCATCCCCTGGTGGTCCCTTATCTCAGCCTGGATATGTTTCTAATGTCAGTATTTTTTTAATTACCATTTTGCCCTTTGTTTCTTTAGAATTTTATATATATATATATATTTGAAAATTTGGTGCATTTGGTAGATGACTCAGGGGCAAAGCCAGACATATCGTGATGGGTTTTCTGTTGGGGGGATGTCGCAGGTAATTAATTATTCAAGTTTATAAAAATTAAATATAAAATTATAAATATTAAAAAAAAGAAAAAATGAAACAGGATTTCTTGGGGGATGATTTTAAAAGCCAAGGATCACATGTGGCGTATAATGTTGCTGATTTTTCCACACAGGTAAAGTGTCATGACTCATTACTCTTTAACATTTTTCACATATTTGATGATTAATTAATTATTATTATTTTGTATTTTTATGTAAAAAATAATATAATAATATTTCAGGCTTCTCAAGGTGGATATAGTGTTGAGTATGTGACTCCAGCCACCCAAGGTGGTTTTCCGGGGAATTTTTTAAATCAAAATTCGCAAGCTGGATTTTCTCGATTTGGTAGTGGGAATGATTTCATGTCTCAGGTTTGTTATATTACTAGAAATAACAACCTACTTTTCTATTTGCAACCTACTTACTTTTATTCAACATGCAAATGTACTTTATTTACTTAACTTGGAATTTAATAAAAAAAAAAAAGTAAAAAAGAAAAGAAAAGGAAAGTATTTAGATTATGTTGTATTTACAGGACTACATGTTTACACAAGTTGGATTTAAGGGATCCATCACAAGATGATTCTTCACAGAGCCACTTCACTTCAGCAGCCACCACCACTTCTCTTCAGACACAGGTCAATCTTTTATTGTAGCATTGTATTTTTTTTTTTTTATTAATAATAAACAAATGAGTGGGAAAGTAGGTTGGTATTTGATGGAATTGGTTAGTGCAGGGTGTGATGAACATGAACATGAACCATGTATACTCATCCCAGGGTTTTACACATTACAACTCCCAACCCATAAACATGCCACCTCAGCAGCAGGGACAGGGACGCTACAACAGTTAAGAGGAGGTCATGTGATATGAAGAGTTTGTGAATAATGGATATGGATTGATCCATTAATGACTCATGGCAAATGAAGAGAGAAATGTCGAATATAACCCTGAAAGAGATTTGAAATGAGAGGCATAATAGTCATGTTGGTGGTGATGTGGCGATATTCTTCTGTACAGGGAGGGATGCTTTCGGGATTTTCTCGTAGTGGAGTGGATGATGGTATTTTACGAGATATATGTGGTAGTGGGTATGTAATGCGCATTATGTGTGACTTTAGTAATTTGATGTCATGATCGATATATGACAAAAAGAAAAAGGGTTTGAATGTTTTTTTTTCTTCTTTTTGATGGAATCTTGTAGTTTTTATTGCAAGTTAATCATTTTGTTTGTCATAATGTAATAATTATTCAAGTATGTGGGAGTTTTTTATAAAAGAAACCAAATATAAAAGCGAGTGTAATCCTTCCATTTAAAAGAGAGTTGATTTTTATTTATTTATTTATTATTATTATTTTTAAATAGGTTAAGTTTAACCACTAAAATGACAAAAATGGATGGAGTCCCCCCTCAAAATGACCTTCTTTTGAATATCAATCACAAAAAAAAAAAAAAAAAAACCCGAATTGCTTCAAAATGACCATCTTTTGAATATCAATCACAAAAAAAACCCGATCAATTCGTCAAATTTCTTTATAAATGGTTCAAGTATGAATACTTTTTTTTAGATTAACAATTTTTTTTCTTTGTAAAATGAAATAAGTATGACAAAAGAAGACCTTGATTTATTTATTATTATTTTTTTTATGTTCTTTGAACTCATATTCAAATATAAAAGATACTATTCTTTATAGTGGTGACACTCTCACCTTACATTTGGGGTCGATCTAGTGAAATGGATTCTTGGGAAAAAAATGGTTGATACATGTCATGAGGTAAATATAGGTCTTGTTGGCATTGTAAGAATGATCACGAGACTACTGAATGTTTGAATGTTAAAAGTTGCAGAATAAAGAAAAAAGGAATGCCTCAAATAAATCAAAGGGTAATGATAATTCTGCAAATTTGTGGTAATAATTTCGATGGAGAGATTTTTACTATTGTTGTTAGAGGTGTCGATAATAGATGATAATTGGGTTCTTAATTCAGCTTGCACCACCTCTGACATGTGTTCTCACAAAGATTGATAGTTCCTGATGCAAAATTAAAAGTGTTTACTATTTTTGATAGTTCTCGATGGAGAGGCGTTAACTATTTTTGAACCATTTTTGCAACGTTGAGTGAGTTTGTGGTTTTGATAGTTCCCAATGCATAATTAAAGGTGTCGTTACTATCTGTTCGATGACATGACTCGAACTTTAATCGATGTTTGGTATATTCCTATGAGGAAAGAGAAATCTCATCTCCTTGAGCATTTTTTATGACTAGGGTTGCATATATTCAAATGAAGATGATGTTTTGAAGACCACAAAAGGTTCACGAGTTTGATTAAAGCCGATTTAAGGAAGACCGATGGTCTTTATTATGTTCAAGGCATTACCATTAAAGGTTATTCTAAAGTTGCAATTTTCAATAACCTCTCTCATAGTTCAACATGTCAAGCCCAAAAGGGTGACATTCAACAACCCAATTTTGACAAAGTCGAATTCTACATCTAGAATTTGTATTCAAGTACAAGTTTTTTAAAAACTTTTGATGCTATTTATTTTTCGATTTCTATTGAAGGTTGAAGATTTATCTTATTAAAGCTTGGTTTAGTATAAGGTGGAGTTTGTTAATCATGCTCCTAAACCCTATTTATGCATGGAAGTATGTTGTTGATCTATGCAATCTTTTTATGAGAAGTGTTGCATTTTCAACTATGAATTTTTTGAATTTAGTTTCCTTATACATTGCTTTTATCCCACAACTGTTGCATGATTTATTTTTATAATAAAATCAGAAAATATAATCTAATAAGGAGGTAATAGATGATAATTACGATTTATTTTTAATTAGGAAACATTTCTATACATTAGGGGTTCTAGAATTTGAATAAGATTCATAAAATTAACTTATAAAGTCGATTATATATGTTATCTTTCATCATTCATCAAGACAACACTTAACGAGACAAAAAAACTCGTTTAACAAAGATTACAACTATTCGTGATTAAAAAATTATGATTCGTTCACATTTATGAGATGATACAATAAAGAAAAGAAAACAATAATATAACACGTGTTAGATAAAAAGAAAATATAATCTAATAAGGAGGTAATCTCCAATAACTTCTACTTTTGCCTTAAAACCATCAAAAATTGAGGCGGATGGCTCCATTACTGACCACCAAATCTTTGTCACAAGGAATACACCGTTCATCATGAAATTTCAAATAATCCTGAGTAAAAAATCTTAAAAACTTCCAAGGAATAGAAAACATACCATATTTTTTTTAATCTTGGAGTCACCCTAAGTTATAACTACCAACGTTTCTTGCTTACATCTGTTGCATTCAGATGATATTGTTGTCTTTACTAGAAAAACGTCTCCAATAGCAGATGGTGGCTGCCAAGTATTTATAACGTTTAACTACATATTCCATTTCTTGCAAAAAGAAAAATATTTAAAAACACCAAACTTGACATGCTTACATGGTTTATATATTGTAATCAAGAATCGATTAGAAACCTCAAAAAAAAAAAAAAACAACTACTTTTCAGTGAAATCGATTAATGACAGAAATTGTTTGTGTGATAAAACGCATATCATACATGTTAATCACAAACTTACATTACGAGCAGGGTTTTCAAGATCAATTTTGGAATTCTTGGAAGGAAGAGGAGAGGCTAGTGTCACACCCCCAAACCGAGTAAAAACGGCGGAAACGTCTGGGGGTGGTTGGCTTTCATGTACAGTATCATAACAATTGAATAATAAAAATCAGAACCATCATATTGATAATTTAATATTTACATTGAGTTCATTTCATTGTTTGTTGACTCCAAAAACATAAGACAAAATATAAGAAGTGACACTGCTACGCTCCGTCTTCACAAAACCTGTGTGGGTACCTATCTACTGATTTCCTGAGAATACAAGTGGTTTTGAAAAATTTTCAACATTTAAGTTGGTGAGTTCATAAGCATTTTGTATGAAAAAGGTATGCCATTGTTCCTTGAAAATGATAGTGTGTTCTTCCAGAAAATCAAATATTTTCTTTTAAATTGAATTGTAGTCTTAAATACCCTAAGACTGAAAATGTATAAGTATTGTTGTACTCTGAAGTAGTATAATGTAGTTTTATATCTTTATAAAACAATTTATGTGCATGTTTCCAGAAATGTAAACTGTATTGTACTGAAAATAGTGTAATGAAATTTTATCTAAATAAAATCATTTGAATGTATACTAGCCTAATAAACCAAATGTTTGTTAATACCCCTTGTGAGTTATTATAACCATGCTAATGACCTGATGGCCTGTACAACATTCTTTAGGTGTCGGAATGGTACGACATTTGTCACCCCAGACCTGCCAGTCTAATTGTAGCTTACAGTTTAGGTGCAGGATTGTCAGTCCCGTATAGATCTATACACAAGTGTCACGCTCTCCCTCCCGGAGACTCTGGTTATAATACAAGACTTTTGTTGGTACTTAGGTAAGTACTTGAAGACGTGTCTCAGAAAGCTATATTGACAGTTTACGTGTAGTATGATGAAAACTCCTTTTTCTTGTAAATGTATGTATCATCATTTTATAGTGTTTACATGGTATAAAATAATTATGCCTTTAAATAATTATTTTTGTATTGTATCTTGAAATGGTAACACAGTGTGTATGTCTCATAAACTATACCTATTATAGTTTATAAAAATGTTTCACTGAAATGATGAATCCTTTGTATATACATTATTATTTTTACTATGATAATAAAATGGATGGAAATAATTATATATTGATTTTTATATAATTATACCCTTTTTGCTCAACATGTTACAAAAGGGTTATAGTTTTATAAACTATAAATATATAGTTTATCATTGTAATCAAATTTATACCTAATATATATATATATATATATATATATATATATATATATATATATAGAGTCAAGATCAAATAAGAATGAAATTTTTGGTAGGAAGGTAAGAAGTTTTTTTTCTACATATTTTTTTCGCGAACAAACAAAATGAATCATTAGATGATTCATTTGTAAGATGATTCACAAGAAAAAATTCTCAAAAAAACATCTCGATGATTCATTTATACAATGATTTTGTTGTTATTCACTAAAATTGTCATAAAAGTGATTTTTTTCTTAATTTACTTAAAAATGAATCATAAAGATGTTTTTTTGGGAATTTTTTCTTGTGAATCATCTTACAAATGAATCATCTAGTGATTCATTTATTTTGTTCGTCAAAAAAATATATAGAAAAAAAACTTCTTACTTTCCTACCAAAAATTTCCTTCTTACCAGATCTATATATATATATATATATATATATATATATATATATATATATATATATATATATATATATATATTATGAAAACAACAAATATAACGGTTTGTATGATAACACAAATTCTTGTGTTTTACTTGTATTCCCCCCCCCCCTAAAACATAGAAAAATCGTGAAAACTGTAGGGGTATGAACTCACCTGTTGGTTGGATAACGAAGTGAGTGACGATGTTCTTCAAGTTAAAACACGTGAATATAGTCGTATCCTAATTTGTTTTAAACACATAATAACATGTGTAAATTAGATAAACTAACAATTGAAGTGTTGTAAAAACACTAAATTAAACAAGAAACTTACAATGTTTCTTAACAATCAAGCTATATAAAATAGCCTTCTGGGAAAGTTGATGATGTTCCTGGGAATATCTTGTTGATGTTCTTGGGAAAGTTTGAAGATTAGAAGAAGTTCTTATGAATTTTGAGAGAAAAGCGAGGGGTGTTTGAGACATAAAATGAGAAATGGGAAGGTGATCTCGGTCTAATACTTATAAAGGGGGGTAAGGATGACGTGATGTTTGCATTGAAATGTGTAATTTATTACCTAGGAAAAAGTGCCACTGGATAAAGTTTGGTGATTTCGGCCTATCTTCACCGAAATCACCTTGATTTCGGTCTAAGGTTCCAACCAAGAACCAAGTCTTCGGTCTAGGGGTTCTCGGTCCAAAGGGATTTCGGCCTAGGTGGGTCCTCGGCCTTAAGGTGTTCTTGGCCTAAGGAAGTGATTTCGGTCCAAGGTGTTTTCGCTCTAGGTGGTGATTTTGATTCTCAAAACCGAAAACCTCAAAAAGTAATGTTAATTTTCATTATTAAATTT